GAGTACCATTTTCTGCTACAACTGAATGGTCTTGTAAGTTCAACTTACCAACATGACTGCAAAATTGTCTTAAATCACAGAGGGGAAGAGAGGAAAGCCAACTAGAACTGGCTAAAATACTGCTTATGTCTTCATGAGAATCCATCGTTTTCCCCATTTGCTTCTTCAGGATACTAGAACAGCCTGCAAGATCTTCTGGTGTATTACAATACAGCAGATTATCAACTTGACTCTCCAATGGAAAGAAACACATTGTTGATGGCTCTCTGTTAGAGCTTGCATTTGGTTTATTGATTAATGTACTGCGTTGTACTGGGTATATCAGGCAATGGAAGCCAACTGGCCCAGACAATGGAAGTGTTTTGTTAGTGTAAAAAATTTACAAGAGCTTAAGCAATTTTTTATTTCTTCTTGCTGGGCTGAAAGCACTTACAATTGTTGTCCAATATGCTGCAAATGAACATAGTTCAAAAATCACAAAGAGAGTGATATGGAGTTATAGAACTGAAAATAGGATACTGATTGGGTACAAATTCATCAAGCCTCTTTATTTCAAAACAAGCTTTTTGTTGGCATGCCAACACAGCTTGCTTTGGAAAAAGCAAAAGCAACTGTGAGTGAATGATATAGTAGGAAAGTTGACCTCCAGTTAATTTCAGTTGTGCCCAGCTAGCTAACTGTACATCTCCTTCTTTCCAACATTTTTTTTAGAAAGTTTCAGTTAGTGAGTCATTAGTGCTATGTACAGAACACCTAATCTGCTATGGACTGAATATGTATGTCCTCCCAAAATTTCTTTGTTGAAATCCTAATTCCCAAAGTGATGGTGTTAGAAGGTGAAGCCTTTGGAAGTTGATTAGGTCATGAGGGTAGTGCCCTCATAAATGGGATTAGTACTTTAAGAAAAGAGTCTTGAGGGAATTCAGTTGTCCCTTCCACATGTGAAGACACAGTAAAAAGAAGGTCATCTAAGAAACAGAAGGCGGACCCTCACCAGACACAGAATTTGCTGGCACCTTAACCATGGATTTCTCGGCCTCCAGAACTGTGAAAAAGAAATTTCTGTTGTTTATAAGCCACCTAGTCTATGGTATTCTGCTATGGAAGCCCGGAAAAAGTAAGACAAATCCATTGCTCAGTTTTTTCAGAAACTTACATAACTCATCTCATGTTAAAAATGGTGAGGCTGGAATTTGAACCCTGGAAATATGGCTCCTAAAGTTGTTCTCTAATTCACTATGCTGTACTGTCTCTGATTGGGTAAACGTGTCATCTACAATAATTTCAGAATTAATTTTATAAAGCAGTCTTTGGCATATATTGCTTCAGATGAAAATTTATCAACTCCCTTTTTCTTGAGATAGTGGTTCTCAATTGTTCTTTTCTAAAACACACACGTCAAATATCATTCTCCCTACAACTATATCACTCTCTTCTCCACAATCTAGAAAGCACACATGAATGCATGTTATATATAACTTTAAATCTGATCTTACATTGAATTTGACAGGGTGTAGCAAAAACTTGAGTACAGTGGCCTAACCAAATAGTGGTTTACTGTTCTCAAATATCCGGAAGTAATGAAGAAGCTGGTGAAAATGTGGTATAGCTGCTTAAGGAATTTGGTAGGAACCCTGGCTCCCTCTACTTTTATGGTTGCCATCTTTAGCATGTGACTTTGATTCTCAAGTTGGCTTTCTCATCTGAAGGTATCACATCTATGTGCAAAAATGGAGGAAGAAGAAGGGCAAAGGACAAGACACAAAAACCAAGTAGACATTTACCAGATGAAACTGTCCCCTTTAATTAGTTTTCCAAAAAGACTCACAGTCTAGTAACATTTAAATCTCACTGAACACAACTGTGTCATATGGCCACTCCTACCTACAAAAGGATCCATGAAGCTAGTATTTTAATATGGGCAAATTCCTTCCCCTTCAAAAATCAGGGCTCTGGTAATAAGAAAGAAAGGGAGAAAGGCAGGTGACTGGCAGTTTGTGCCATGTATGTAATATCATAAGCAAACACTGGCACTTTTATTGGTAACTGATGACTCTGCAATATACTCTGTTACTTATCACAGGATATCAGTGAGACACTGACTCTATGGTTGAGAGTGTCTGATCTACAGGATGAAGTCCAAATCCCTAAACAAAATATATAAGAAAGTATCTTACCAGTCTAATACTAGCCTACTTTTTAAAATTTATGTTCCACCTTCTCTAGCCCTTTGCTTAAGTCACACGTAACTTGTCTTCGTTTTTTAATTCACCGACCTTTGCGCCACTGGTTTTGGCATATGTCCCTTTCTTTGTTCAGAAGACCCTCCTCACCGTCTCCAGCTGGTAAATAATACTTATTCTGCAAGACCCAGTGTGAATACCATCACATCTCTGGAAATGGCCTTAACTCTCTCAGTCATATCGATTTTGGTGTTTTGTATACACCTCCATTAGCTCACTTGTAATTATTTTCTTTCATATTTGTCACTACTGACATACGCTACAGACTCTTAGAGAACAAGGACTATGATTTATTCAACTTTTTCTACCCAGTGCTCCTGCAGTTCTTGGAATATGCTCAAGACATCTGCTTAAGGGAAAATATAGCTGAGTGTCACCTCCAGTGTATAGGTGACCTACAAGGAGCTGAAGTGACCTGTTTTCACCATAGTCAGTAAAAATGCACTGATCTACACCCCTTAAATCTAGACCTCAGTGGATTATTGGCTGTCAGCAGAAATATGGAAGAGACAGATAGTGTTGAGTTTTTTTTTGGTCTTAGTTGATGATAATAACATAATTCAGTAACTTAAAGGTGTTTTCTTTATATCTTCCATTGCCTATTCTTTAGCTCTGTTATCAAGAGATATTCGATTTTTTCTTTCTTTGTGCACAATTTGAGACACAGTTTGTATCCTCAAAAAGGCTACTGTTTTTTAGATTCTATATATGAGTAAGATCATATCATGTTTGTCTTTCTGTGTGTGTCTTATTTCACCTAACACAGTGTCCTCCAGGCTCATCCATGTTGCTGAAAATGACAGAATTTCATTTTGTTTTATGGTTGAATAGTATTCCATTTTATCTGTGTGTGTGTGTGTGTGTGTGTGTATATGTATGTATATATGTATACACACACACATATATAGTCACATACACATACAATGATATATAAAATATATATACACACACACACACATACACATATTCATCTGTAGTTGGACATTTAGGTAGAGTCCATATCTTGTCTGTTGTGAATAACACAGAAATTCAGTAAACATGATCAAGGTGCCTGCAATAAACATGGGAGTGCAGATATCTTTCAAAATGCTGATTTTATTTACTTTGGATATATACACAGTAGTGGTATTGCTGAATCATATGATAGTTCTATTTTTAATTTTTTGAGGGACCTCCATAATGAGTAGAATAGTGATTACCAGGAGCTGGGCACAGGTAGTGGCAAGGGAGAAACAGGGGAAGATGGTCAATGTGTACAAAATTACAGTTAGGAAGAATAAATTCTGGTTTTCTGTTACACAATAGGATGACTAGAGCAAATAATAATGTAATGCACATTTCAAGATAGCTAAAAAAGAATGTTTTGAATATTATCACTCCAAAGAAATGATAACTATTTAAAATAATGAATATGGTAATTACACAGATTTGGTCATTATACAATGTATACATACACTGAAACATCATGTTATATCCCATAAACATAAATATGTCTAATGATTGTATGTCAATTATAAATAAATTAATAAAAATGTTACTGTTTAAGGAAATAAAAGACCTTTGAACTTAAAGTGATTTGAATAATATGGAAATAATTTACTAGCTTATTAACTTTTAAGTTGTTCAGTGGCTGGTGTATTCATATTTAGCAAATACTTAGTACTTGTCATTAGAGGAAGTTTAGGAGCAATGGGAATTGGATGAGAATACAAAAGGAAAAATTAGTCATAAAAAAACCACAAAATTCAACAAAGGGTTAGAGTAGACATGGTGAGTTCTTGATGATGCTACAACCTTACCCTTTCTTCCCTGAGTATATGGAAGACAGACATCACTAAATCAATCAAAACACATTTTTCACCTGAGCCCAGACATGGCTTTAGAATGCATTTCAGCAGTACAATACTCCAGTTATCTTCTATAAACAAAGGAGGGAAGACATTCCTATCTTTCCCTCATCAGTGCATTCTCCATAAAGACTGTTCATGTCAATACACTACCTGTAACTGGGTGGAGAATGTTTTCCTGACTCCCTTTGCAAAGTGAAGCAAGCATTGTGACTCCAAGATTGAGCTTCCACGTATTTAACTCTTCTGTCAAATCTCTCTCAAGGATTGGGTTCAGTGTCTTACAATCATGGAGTTCCAAAGACACTGCTTCTGTTACTTGCTTTCTATTTCTGCTAAGGAATGAGAGGGATCATCCCACCCACCGACTTTACAAATGAGGAGGGAGATAGCTAACACGTACTGAATGGCAGTCAATATAGTGAGTGCTTTATATTTACATCTTTTTGTGTTTTATAACAACCACATAAGGTCAGTATTATGTCCCCATTTTATAGATAGGAGACAGTGTCAAAGAAATTAATTCATTTGCCTGAGATCCCAGAGGTGGTGAGGGATGAAGATAATATTTAATCTCAGATCTGTGACATCTGGCATCATGCTATTGAACTCTGGAGAGTTAGTTGTTTTTTTGTGATCTTGATAAAATCTGCTTCTTGGGTTCTTTTCATACCACCAAGTAGTTACATTTTTGATGACAGCCTTGAGCTGTACCTTCATACTTTCTTGAGTCTTGCAGACCACAGAGGCAGATGGAAAATGGGTAAACGTAGATCAGATATGTGTTAGAAACAATCAATCTATTTAAAACCTCATGCCAATCATGTGAAAATCTGGTCCCCTGGAGACCATCTTGATGGAAATGGAAAGCAAATTTGGGCTTAATCTTCTTATGTCCCTTTTTCTGCAGGACATCGTCCATATCAGGTGATCACCGCTCGAGTTCATCCAGGAGAGAGCAATGCCAGTTGGGTGATGAAGGGTACCTTGGAGTTCCTGGTCAGCAGTGACCCTGTGGCTAGGCTCTTGAGGGAAAACTTCATCTTCAAGATCATACCCATGCTCAACCCAGACGGTGTCATCAACGGCAAGTATGTCAGGCACCTGGCTCAGCCCAGCTGCATTTATGCTACCATAGTAACACTGTCATTTCACCAAGTGGGCGTGATTGGAGAGGCCTCGGTACTCTGCCAGGAATAAACTCTTGGTTTTCCGTTTTCTGGTACAAATAACAGCATACTTTCCATACACACTGATGTCAGTCTCATGGTTTCTCCGAATAGAAAAGTATAGAATTGAGACCTAGGCAGGAGGATCGCTTGAGACCAGTAGTGCAAGACCAGTCTGGGCAACACAGTGAGACCGGTCTCTTCAAAATAAATAAGTTAAAAAAATAGGAAGCTATAGAATCATAGGCAATTAATAGCAGAGGAAAAATCTAGTTTAACATTTTTCTTTTAAAAAGGAGGAAACTGGTGTCCAGGGTAATCAAATGATTTGTCCGAATCACATGGTGGGTTAATGACAAAGTCAGGGCTCAAACTGTGATTTCTTCAGAGTAAGACCAATGCTTTTATTTACTTACTAATATTTACTACAGGGAAATCTTTATTCTCAGTCAGATATAATAGGATACAGTTATAATAATGGTGTCCCTCTAGCTAAATAAAATGTTGGCTGAAAAATAGAAGGTTGAGGTCATTCTTCTCTTTACCTAGCCCTTACAGAACTCTTCGAAATATATGATGGGAAAGATGGTTTCCATGCCTGGTGAGCTCCGTCGAAATGGGTCACATTCTCAGAGTTTGTGAGCTGAGGCCCAGACATCAGATGAGGCACCCAAAGTCACACAGGTGGTGCATGAGGGTGACAGGATTAACATCCACAAAGACGTCTTTCAAACTTTGTGGGCAAACGATAAAGCCCCTTGCCATGGTAATAGATGATTCTTTTTACTATAGGAATGGACATTATATGCTATAAGAAAAAGAGAATACAAGATAAACTGAAAATATTGAAGGAAAAAAATTCAAAACCTACAAATGGAAAATGTATTTTTAATAAAAAAATTAGTATCAAAGAAGCAAAAAAGAATTTAGACAACTATAAAATATAGCAATATTAAAATTGTTAAATGAAAGAGATAAAATGAGAATTACAAAGAAATACTAAACAAAACCAAAAACTTCAAAGAGATAAAATGAAAATGACTGAAATAAGAATGATATAAGAAAAATGAAATAATTCATTTTTTTAGAAAAAATTTAAGTGTTCAACAGCCGAGAATAGACTAGCTTCAAAAGATAAGCACCAAAGATAGATAAATTAAAAAGGTTAAAACTATGAAGATGATAAATTACAAAAAGATGAAAAGCATAAATTCCAAATGATGAAATATGTTAAACTATGCTAAAGGAAAGCAAATAAAAACTACAGATCATAAAAATAATATTTCAGTACACACACACACACACACACATACACACACACACACACACACACACACAGATAAGACACCTATGTGTTCTTCACAGGTGAGCTCCTCCCAGCTTAGCAGTTGCCGGATTTCATTTTGTTTAATTTTTTTATGGTGATTATTTGAGGGCAGAGAATGTTGGGCAGAGAGCAGGGTTTCTTCTCTTTCTCTGTGGTGACTGATTGGCCTTTAAGCACATGGGAAAATGGGAGGCCAAGTCCTTCACTAAGAAACTCGATCAGACCTTGGAAAGCAATTAGCCTTCTGAGCTCTCAAGCTTGAAAGGCCCCAAAGCAGTGTTCGCTCCTGGTCAAACAGAACTCAGCCGGCTCTTGCTCTGTGCTCCTTTAACGGCAGAGAACAGCTCTGGGACATCAGTGAATGGCTCCTCCCTGCTTGAGCAGCCAAGGATTTTACTAGCAAGCTTTCTCAGCCTAAACGGATGAAAAACAGTTATGCAAGGCATCTTGAGGGACATGATCCCATTTTGACATTTTCTCATCCAAATTGGCTCTTTTCCGAAATCTTTCCTTCGCTGGAATTGTCTGAGGCCCAGTAGAGAATGGAAAGAGCCCTGGATCTAGAGTCATAAGGTTCATTGGGAATTCTGGCTTTTCTCCTGCCCTAGTCAGTTTTCTCTTCTGTTAGAAGAGGAAGACAATATGCTCCCTGTTGACCATTCTGGAAAAGGTCTCAGAAGCCCAAGGCAATATTCAAGCTCAGGGATTAAGTATTGTAGTTTCTTCAATTTTAAATGCTTACACCTCCAAATCAGGGGCTTTATCCAGATCTCTGGTTTAAAGGTTAATGTGATCTCAGTCACTGAGTATCATCCTGGCCTGGACACACATTATTTCCAGCTCATAGCTGGTTGCTTTGGGTTCCCAAATGGAAGGCCAGCTTCTTCTTAGTGACACTGGCATTTATCATCATTACCATTATTTATTATGACTAAAATTACCTTTTTATTTATATAGCATCTTTCATCATGGAGCTCAAGGCACTTTGTAAATCACTTGGATTACCCAAACAATTTTGGCTGAAAGGGACTTGGAAATCATAGTGTTATTCTACTGAAGGAAAAATCCACAGGTCATAGCACAACATTATGAAAAAACTTGAGACCCTGAATATATAATGTCTCATCATAAAAGAGCTTAAAAGTTTCAGTGCCTGAGCCCTCCTTAGAACATACCTAACACATGGTTTATCTAATTGCTGCTTGAACTAGTTCTGTGATTGACGTTTTACTTCAGGGCATGCCCACTCTGTTGTGTATAATCAGGTGGATTTGTGTCTTACTGTGTTTTCATCTTTGTCCTGTGAGCTTCACCCATTTTAATCATTCCTCCCTTAGGATATCCCATGGATAAAATCTAATCCCCCTCATCCATGCCTGAACTTCCCCATGTGAAGTTCTCTCCAACCTTGAGGCGGTTCACCTAAATTTTCTGTATATGGTATTTTTTCTGATGTTCTCATCTTCGCTGATTTTCTCTGAGTATATTCTTATTAATAGGCTCCTTTTTGTGACACTGTAGTCTTTTGTCCTTTGTAATGTATTTTAACAGTTTTGGGGGGAGAGATTTTTTTTGGTTACATGGATAAATTATTTTAGTGGTAATTTCTGGGATTTTGGTGCACCCATCACCCGAGCAGTGTACATTGTATCCAATATGTAGTCTTTTATCCCTCACCCCCCAACCCTTCCACGGCAAGTCTCCAAAGTCCAGTATATCATTCTCATGCCTTTGCGTCCTCATAGCTTAGCTCCCACTTACAAATGAAAACATACGATATTTGGTTTTCCATTCCTGAGTTACTTCACTTAGAATAATAGTCTCCAACTCTATCGAAGTTACTGTAAAGGCCATTATTTCATTCCATTTTATTCCATGGTGATATAGATATATATACACACACACACACATATATGTATATATACACACACACACACATATATATATATCACATTTTCCTTATCCACTCATTGGTTGATGGCACTTAGGTTGGTTCCATATCTCTGCAATTGTGAATTGTGCTGCTGTAAACATGTATGTTCAAGTGTCTTTTTCATATAATGACTTCTTTTCCTTTGGGTAGATATCCAGTAGTGGGATTACTGGATCGAATGGTAGTTCTACCTTTAGTTCTTTAAGGAATCTCCATACTGTTTTTTCATAGTGGTTGTACGAGTTTACATTCCCATCAGCAGTGTAAAAGTGGTCTCTTTGCACAACATCCACGCTAACATCTATTACATTTTGAATTTTTAATTATGGTAATTGTTGCAGGAGTAAGGTGATATCTCATTGTGGTTTTAATTTGCATTTCCCTGATAGTTAGTGATGTTGAGCATCTTTTTTCATATGTTTCTTGGCTACTTGTATAATCTTTTGAGAACTTTCTATTCATGTCCTTTGCCCACTTTTTGATGGGAGTTTTTTTCTTGCTATTTTGTTTGAGTTCCTTGTAGATTTTGGATATTAGTCCTTTGTTGGATGCATAGTTTGCAAGGATTTTTCTCCCACTCTGGGTTGTCTGTTTACTCTGCAGATTATTTCTTTTGCTGTGCAGGAGCTTTTTAGTTTAATTAGGTCTCATCTATTTTGTTGTTACATTTGCTTTTGGGTTCTTAGTCATGAATTCTTTGCCTAAGCCAGTGCCAAAAGAGTTTTTACAATATTATCTTCTGGAATTTCTATGGTTTTAGGTCTTAGATTTAAGTCTTTGATCCATCTTGAGTTGATTTTTGTATAAGGTGAGAGATGAAGATCTAGTTTCATTCTTATACATGTGGCTTGCCAATTACCCCAGCACCATTTATTGAATAGCATGTCCTTTTCCCACTTTATGCTTTTTTGTGTGCTTTGTCAAATATCACTTGGTTGTTAAGTATTGGCTTTATTTCTGGGTTTTCTATTTTGTTCCATTGGTCTACATGCCTATTTTTATGCTAGCACCATGCTGTTTTGGTAACTAAAGCCTTATAGTGTAATTGAAGTCAGGTAAAAAGATGCCTCCAGATTTTTTCTTTTTTCTTAGTACTGCTTCGGTTATGCGGGCTCTTTTTTTGTTTATTTGTTTCATATGAATTTTAGGATTGTTTTTTCTAATTCTTTGAAGAATGATGATGGTATTTTAATGGGAATTACATTTACTCTGTAGACTGCTTTTGGCAGCATGGTTATTTTCACAATATTGACTCTATCTTTCCATGAGCATGGGGTGTGTTTCCATTTGTCTGTGTCACCTATGATTTTTTTTTTCAGCAGTGTTTTGTTTTCCTAGTAGAGGTATTTTACCTCCTTGGTTAAGTGTATTTCTAGGTTATTTATTTATTTATTTTTAGAGCTGTTGCAAAAGTGACTGAGTTCTTGATTTGATTCTCAGCTCGGTTGCTGTTGGTGTATAGCAGTGCTACTGATTTGTGTATATTGATTTTGTATCCTGAAACTTTACTGAATTCATTTATTAGATGTGAGAGCTTTTTGGATGAGTCTTTATGGTTTTCTAGGTATACAATCATACCATTGGCAAACAGTGACAGTTTGACTTCCTATTTACTGATTTGGATGCCCTTTATTTCTTGTTTGATTGCTGTGGCTGGGACTT